AGGAAGCAGAGCTGGACTTACAGAAGGTGGGAGGGTGGTGTGTGTGAAAGTTTCTAGAAGCCACTCAGATTCATCGTGTCCTACCCAGAGCCTGCCGTCTGCACACCACCACCCAATCTCCTTTGAAGTCCCCATCTCACCCCTACTAACCATCTGGTTGCCTAGATGAGATACCTAAACCCCCACACACCCCCAACACCTTCCTCCCCCTCATCCCCACACCCAGCCAGTCCCCTAGGTTCTAGGTTAGTCCACTTCCTAAACATCTCTAACCCTGCCCCCCTCCATCCCCAGGATCTCAGGGTGCATCAGGGAGATACTGGGGGGGAAGTGCTTAGTATGTGCCCTACAACTGCTTGCTATGATCATGACTGGTGTTACTATAAGCACGGAGTGTACTTAGGAAAGCGCTAGACTAGGCATTAGGAGATGTAGCTTCTAGTCCCAGACCCCACATTATCTATCAGGGTGACCTGGGCAAGTCAATTACCCTTTCTGAATTAGCCCTCAATAAACGTTATTTTCCTTCCTTGCTTCGCTTCCATTACTGAATGATTCCCTATATTATCCCCACCTCTCCCTTCCTTCGGCACAGATAATTAAGACTTTGCAGATAATTAGTAGCGTATCTTGACTTTTGAACACCGCATTTATGAGTATCCCAAATACGTAAGTTACCGCGTGGACGCCCATCACGGGGGAGGCCTCTTCCCCCCTCCGCACTGAGTCATCACCCGTGTCCCTACACGTTTTTACATCAAAAAGTAGGAAAAAAAAAAGTCAACCCAAAGGATAATCCTTTAAATACATTTAACTTTATGACAAACAAGTTACCTATTTCTTATTTTTTCATTCCTTTGCCAGCTGGTGAAACTTCATTTTGGATGAATAAGCACCAGCCTAGACCGCAACGTGGGAAGCAAGCCCTGTGGAGCACCGCTATAGCACGAAAGCACCCCCAGCCTCTTGGTTATCAAATCCCACTCACCCACCCAGATCCAGCTCCCCCCACCCCAACAGGGAAACTGCAGCTTCTCCCAGCAGACAGGGACGGTCTTATCAGAAATAGCACTGCAGGTCTGTATCAAAGCAACCTGCTCTGTTAGAAAATCGCTAAAACTATGCCAGGCTGTAATGTTCCTGTTACTCCCATTAGTTCCGAAGAAAGGAGAAGGGTTCCCTCTCCCAGAAGCTACTTTGAAATTTGAAGCCATGTCCTTCTAGTGGGGGCAGGGAAGAGCCTGGGGACTACTTTACCCAAAATCCCTGTGGCTGAAACTGGACAGACCCATGCCTTCCACTGACTGGTAGTAGGCCGAGCTGAGAGGCCAACCAGAGAATAAGACTGAGGGTGGTGTTCCCACATGTCCCATGGAGAAATTCAGGGTGGGAGTGAGGAAGGAAAGATGAAAATGGTGGGTTTTTTCTAAGACACTTTTTAGGAAACAAGACGAGCAAAAACACTGTCAACCAATCCCTTAAACCAGGGCATGGTGGAGGCAGTGCAGAGCTCAGACTGGCAAGGCTGCTCTTCCCACCACAGAGGATACTCTCTGTCTTTCTTCACACCTAAGGCTGGGAGAAAAAAGATCTCTGTGCTCAGAGAAGCCTTGTCCTGATGGAGGAGACACAGCCCCTGTCCCCAGGGAGCCCCCAAGTGATGGGGGAGCTCAGAGTCCAGCCTCAGTCCCTGCTTCTGCCCAGCTCTTTGCACTCCCTGCCAAGGTGTCCTCTGCAGCCAGCTGGAGCCGGCCATGCAGCTGTGGTGGACACAGGTGGCTTGGCACTTGTCCTTGTCTTCGCTCCACTGAGCCTAAGGTTGGACTGGCTCCGGAGATGAATGGACAGCTCTCACGCCAGGGGGAAGAGCTGTGGAGAAGCAGGCAGATCCAAATGTAGCAGAACTTTGCAGCCGGAGCAGGTGGCCTGCCAGGGGCAAACTCCTCCAGAATTCTTCTTGGGCAGGAATCTTTATTCCTAGCCTTCGTCCCACCCCCTGGATGCGGTTCTCTATTTTTCCCCCTCTTTCAAAAACTGGCCTGGCTCACTTCATTCAGGAAGATGTCAGGGTGACCATCCCACCTCTGCTGCCAGCATTCTGCTTAGGACTGGCAGCTGCACAGGGCTGTCACAGACACAACCTTTCCCGATGTGGCATTTTTTCCGTTCTGGGTGAATTTCAGAAGTCCCTGGACTCCCCCAAAGTAGGGCTTGGGTTTCCCCTTTTCAGACTGTCCCTCTCCCATCTGCTACCCAAGTCCAAGATCTCTATGACCACCATACCCTGGGGGCTCCATAAGGGGGAGCCATCACCTCCAGGGGGACTTCAAATAGAAGACCTATCATTGAACCCAATTCTGCTGCTTGAAAGCTGTGTTACTCTGGCTAAGACATCTCACTTCTCTGAGATTCAGTTTCCTCAAAAAATGGGGAGAATAAGAGTATTGCCCCAAATTCACATGGTGGTGGAACTGTTTGTAACAAATGATTAAGAGCCCTGCAGTATTCATTACCATGACTGATTAGCCGAGAGTTCCCTGGGTAGGGCCAACATGCAGAAACCTCATTCCTAACGTATAAAAACGGATAAAAGGAGTTGCTGAGTTTACAGCCAGGATGAGGTTCCCGGAAGCCCCTCCTTCATAGCCTCCCATTTCCTTCCCCACTAGAGGCGTTCATCTGTGGATGCCCCAGCTGGAACTTCCACAACTCAGGAAAGAGATGAGGGATACAGACCTTGAATTTAATTGGAGTAAATGGCAAAATGATAACTGCTGTGAGAAACATTTCATTCAATTTAGCTGTCAATTCAGTATGTTTAAGTATATCTGTAAGTCATTTCTTTTAGAAGAAAACAGCTCTGCCGGCACCTTGATCTCAGACTTTCAGCCGCCAGACTTTTCTGTTGTTTAAGTCACCTGGACTGTGGTACATTGTTATGGCAGTCCCAACAAGCTGGTACAGTAAATACGACAGATATTTTAAATGTCGAGGTATCTTGGGAAGGCAAAGTGTCACTTCCCCACCAGTACAGCACAAGGTATCAAAGTGGAGAATCCCACACTGCAGGCCCTCATCAGGGCTGGGGAGTCACGCCTGCTATGTGAGGAGAATGAATCCAGACTGAACGGCAATGGGCTATTTCAGGCACTTTCTTCAAACCAGAGACAAGCATTTGCACGGCCCCAGCAACCCACGCTGATGTGACACGAGAGTCCAACCAGCTCATGCCAATCACTGAGGCAGAGATGAGCATATTACTCACAACATGTTCATAAGACATTGGAAATTACAAAGCTCATGACTAATTCCCTTGTTTAAAAAAAATCAGACAAGGTTCAGGGTGATGTCTGACGTACTGTCACGTCACTCAGCCATTCACCCACTCATTTCATTTTTCATCATGAGTATTTTGAGAGCCTATTGTCTCCCAGGCAGGTCTAGGCTTTGGAAACAGAAAAGAAAACAATCAGCCTCCCTGCCTTCAAGGAACTTACATCCTCCCTGAGAGTAAAATGCTTTAAGCAAATACACCAACACATACATACACACACTCACATGAAAAATAAAGCTGATTAAGAGAATAACACACGCAGTGGGTATTATTCTACAAAGGCTCATCAGAGAAGAACGGAACTCTCTCTTTGCCATTTGAGGTAGATCTGAATGAAGCAAGGGAGCAAACCATGCAGCTATGTAAGGATAGAGCATTCCAGGCAGAGGAAACAGCAAGTGCAAAGGCCCTGAGGTGGGAGCAGGTTTGGTGTGTTCAAGGAGCAATGAGGAGACCAAGGAGTCCATGTGATTGGAACAGAGGGAGTGAAGACAAGAGTGTTGGGAGATGAGGTTAGGGAGGTGGGAGGGCATTTTATTTGAGGTGTGGTATGACGCCCCTGGAGGATTTTGCACAAATGAGTGACATGCTTTAAAAGGACCCCTCTGGCTGCTATGTGGGCAATAGATCAGAAAGGGCACGCGTGAAACAGGAGACCAGTTAGGAGGTTGTTCAAAAAAGAGACAACAGTAGATCAAACTAGGATGGTAACCATAGGCAGTGGGATGCAGTCACATTGAGGCAGATTTTGAAAGTGGAGCTGGCAGGAATTGCTGATGGACGGGGATGTGAGAAAAGGAGAGCTATGATTATGCCAACATATCTTCCTGAGCTCCTGGGTGCATAAAGGGTCACCTATCTATCCTGCCATGGTCTCTATAGGAAGGGGCAGATTTGTAGCTATTTAATCTTCCCAGAACTGCACACAGCCCACAGTGCCTCCTACCTGTGCCGCAGTCTATGGGTGGATGGGGTACGTGACGTTATCGCCTCCAGTATCACAGTAAAAACCACCACCCACTGCCCATTCTCAACATGTCCACGAGAGATGGCCCTTGTGCTCTACTGAACCAAGGACTAGAAGGCCCCCAAATTTAAGAGCTGGGAGAGACCTTAGGTACGATCTAGAGAACATATGAATGAAATGACTTGAGACACCTGTTAAAGATGAGTGCCCAGCCCAGCCCACACCTTCTGCATTAGAACATCAGCATCTGAGGGCTGGAAATCCACCTGTAACAAGTGCTCTGGGTGAATCTCATGCTCTCCAAAGTCTCCGGACCACTGCTCTAATTGAAGCCCTTCAATTGCAGGTGAAGAAACAGGTCCTCACCCCCAGCTCCCACCCTGGCTGGGTCCCTTCCACCACACCAAGCTGCCAAGGTCATGGCCAGAGCCCCCAGTGGTCCAGTGGACATCATGGTTTCCCAGCTCTCTGCCTCCTCTCAAAAATAGAACATCAGTGACAAGCACAGCCAGCAAGGACGTGTGGTGTTCCATCCCCACTGCTGGGAGGACAGGTTCTGACACGTAAATGAGGGTCAGTGTGTCATTCCAGGGTGCACAGGATAAGGACGCCTGGACTAAGGGGGGAAAGCTATGGCTGAATCGCTGTAAGCAATGGGAAGCTGGCGTGGAAGTGGGGACGTGGGAACACTCCTGACACTGTCCCTGCTGGGTGAGTTACTGGGACTGGAAGGAAGTGTTTCCTTCCATAGAGTCATTCCAAAGCATTCTCAACATTAACCCCGAAGGAGAAAGGCTGACACCAGGGCTCTGGTTAAGCCACCTCACTGATCCTGGACTCAGTTTTCTGATCTACAGAATGTAGCCTGAATCCTTTCATGGGGATGAATTGCCAACTTGCTCATAAAGCCATATGTCAAACGCAGCGGCCAGGGGCAGGCGGCACATGGCAGTCCCAGCAGCGTTAGGCTTGGCTGACTCCCTGTCCATAAAGCCCCCAGGCCCCAGGAGCACTGATGGCAGAGAGACCTAGGGGGCCTTGCAGTGCAATGAACCAGCAAACTCCCAATTTGTTAAGATACAAGAATTAGAGTAAAATCAGCCAGAGTTATCCCTGGCTCCTTGGATCTCCGTTAAACCATATAAGTTTAATTATACCGAGGAGTAAGACTTTGATTCTCTGCCTCCGACACTGGGTCATCCAGTTATTTGCCTGTCCTCCCCTACCCCGCCCCTGGCACAGGAGGCCTCTGCAGCGATGGGAGGACTTTCTGTAGCTGTCCAGGGCCAGGTGGGCTCTTCAAGTAGAAGGTGTGGGTCCCACATGCTGCCTGGGAAGGGGGGTGGGTCCCCACCACCAGGCAGATCATTGTCTTTCATTCCAGAAGTGATCTGAACAACTCCACGCAGAAGCCCTTACGTATGCACATGCGCACACTGAATCCAGATGCAGAAAAACGCACGTTTCCTACACAGGAGTCCATGCAGATACAGACTCAAAACAGGAAATAAAAGAAGGCAGTGGTGTAAGTGCTTACAATATGTCAGGCAATGTTTGAAGGGCTCTGCAGGTTTTACCTCATTTCATCCTCACAAGAACCTTTCAGAGAGGTGCCCTGGTTGTTACCATCTTGATTTCATAGATGAGGGAGCCCACTGGGGGTTCCTGGCGGCCTACGCAGAGCCCACAGTCCAGCGCATCTCCGGGGCCTGTACTCCCAACCACAACCCTCCCAGCTTCCCACCATTACACACCTGTGTCCACCCGAATGGTGCCCCACACCCCACTCTTGGTAACCACACACACGGACACACTTGTGACCGATCACACTGGCTCTCCAGGGACATTTGTCAAGTCAGAACATCTGATGTTTCTTCTGACCCTTTCCCCCCAGGGAAAGGCAGTGCCTTCTTCGGATGCTGCTCCAGACTCAGGGTTCTCCCTCCTGTCCTCAGACTCTGGAGGCTGAGAAACTGCTCATTTGTCTCACTCAAACACAGGCAAATTGCTGAGATGGGTTAAGTCTTTGTTCAGGCTTCTTGGCGATAGCCAGATCAGGAACAGAAGCATGAACTTTAAATCATCTTATCTAAGTCCACAACATTTAATAAATCTGCATTCAGGAGCTTTTCACTTGCCACTGGCAGTTAAAGAAAAGGGCAGTTTTACAGCTAAGCCCTAATATGCCAGCTCACAACGAAATCACTTCTTTTTCTGACTTATCAGACTCCATTATCACTCCCTTAAGCAGGGATGCACTGTTTTGTTCTGGTGCTAACACCATTAGCTCAAGGTGCATAAGAAATATGAAAAGGACACAGGGACTTCCAGTCTCCAAGCAAGTTCTTGGGGTGCAAGTCCTTCCAGATGGGGTGGGAGCAGGAAGAAGTGAGCACTGTGGGTTGGGGACAGAGGGCAGCTGCCTGGACACTGCCAAGTGCACCCCTGGAGTGGGGGCATTTGTGTCCTACTTCCAGGCTGCAGAGAGAACACGGGCTCAAGGCTGGGAGGGAACAAGGGGCAGAGGCATGGTCCACCCCTCTGCGGCTGAGCCTGGCTCCAGGAAGTATGGGTAACATAGGCTCTGGGTGTGAGTTCTGACCTTATGCAATTTCAACCTCTCTGGGCCTCAGTGTCCCAATCTATGAAATGGGATTTGATCAAAATAGCACCTGTTTCAGAGTTCTTGCAAAAATTAAATAGAAAATGAGTTTACACTTAGGGTTCTTGTTCCAGAAAATATCTCATCCCAGAGGGCCAGGAGCACTTTAGGAAACCTTAGGAAGATGTGGTCTCATCTGTACTTCCCTTGGTGGGAGGGGTATTGCTGCATCATAGACAAGGAATGTCAGGATTTAGAGATGGGGTTGCGGAAGCCGGCATTCCGGATGGTCCTCCACGATTTCACCTCCTGGTGTTCACCCCTCGTGTAGTCCCCTCTGATGCTGAGTCAGAGTGGGCCTGTGTGACACAGAACGCAGTGGAGTGTTGATACATGACTTCCGAAGCCAGGTCTTAAAGGCATGGAGCATCCATCTCAGCAAAAGGAGGGTCACAGCTATTGGGTTAGTTATCAACAGCATTTGCCCCATGTATAAATAAGTCATGTTGCCCAACACCACACTATTAAATACAAAAAAAGTTGAAAAGTAGTAAGATAATGGTTAGAACACCATTACGCGCTCTCTCTAGCAAATCCATATCCTTGCTTTTCAGGTGATTTCCTTCCAACTAACTGAGGCTCCAAGAAAAAAAGGACTTGCCCAAGGTGTCTTGCTGATTGATAAGTACTCTGGATCTGTAAGCTAGGTCTCCTGACTCTTGGACCAAGATTGGACCTGTGCCAGTTTTTCATTATGGGCACGGGGGAACACTTTTCACAAGGTGCCCTTCAAATCAAAAACGGTTGAGAAATCAAATAAGTCAGAGAAATGCTACCTACTTGATCCCCATCTTGGTGATTCCTTATGCCCACCGCATAGTAAAGGCTCTGAGAAGTCCTGCAGAAAAACAAATAAACAGAGAAACAAAATAACATTTCACCTAGCAGTTCCCAAAATATATTTAAGCATGGAATTATCACTTCATGGCCCCAATTAACATCTCATGGGACTAGCATTCTGCACAACACCTTCAGAAATGCTGCCCTAAACAGAGCAGCGTCCTGTCACCCCACCCCATCACATAACCGCTGTGCTGAACACATCCATCTGCAGAGACAGGGGTAATTAGTCCGGCATATGCTGCTGTGCTTCTACTGCATTCTGGTGCAAGTTCCACTCGGGTGGTACCCTTTTTAACTCTGGTTAATGAAGAGGTTTATTTTTGTGTGCTCATTTAGGAATTGTAATCACTTTCAAGAAAGAACAAGAGCATGCTACTGGAAAGAATGAGCCTGAAGTTGGGACGTAGTGGAGAAGTGCACAGATGTATCTCTGGCTCAGAGATTACTGACAAGAGCAGTCCACATAGCTCTCCTGGGCCACTGTGGACAGGCCCCTCTGCACACACCACCTCGTGGATTCTAAGGGCCAATGGCCAGAACCTCGGCTACCTCCTTGCACGCGGCCGAGGCAGGGTCCCTGGCTGTGCCAGCCACCACGTATCAACTTTGGGTGATTTCTTTCCCTTAAGTCTGGATTCTCTTGTCACCTACTGATAACGACACTAATTCTTGGAATGCCTAAGAGGCCTGAGCTCAGGGTCCGGATCTTGGATTCTGGACTGCCTTTCCCCTCCACCGGGCTGCCCCCTTGGGAACAGTAGAAGATACAAACCATCTGCCATTCCATGATCTTTTAACCTGTGTAACTTTTTGTTGAAATAATCATGCAGAGACATGCACTCATCAGAATTGTACTCTGCAATTAATTTTTACAAACCAAATACATTCGTGTGATTAGCATTCAGACCAGGGTTCCCTCCCAGCACCTCGGAAGCCCCCTGGTGCTGCCTTCTAGTTACTACCCTCCCAAGGAGTAGCCACTACTCTAGTTTTGTCTGTTACTGAGCCTCAGATAAACGGAATCAAACAGTATATACATATCCTCTCATGTCTGGCTTCTTCCCCTTAAGAGTATGTTTGGCAGATTTTTCCAGGTTGTTGAGTGTGATTGTAAGTCTTTCATTCTCGTTGCTGTGTAATATTCTACTGTGTGAATATACTTCCCTTAATTTATCCATTACACTCTTGACAAACGAGTCTTGCTTGGGTATTCTAGTTTACATCCATTAAAAATAGTGTTTTTATGAACATTCTAATACACGTCTTTCAGAAGGATACATGGATGTATTTCTGCTGGGTATCTCATACCCAGGAATGGAAATACCAATATTTCCAACCAGTTGTCAAAGGGGTTTTATCCATTGACTCTCCCACTCGCCATGTATGAGCACTCATTACTCCATATCTTCCTCCCAGGATCTCTCATCCTTTTCCTTACCCAGGTGTGCCGTGGCATCTTGTGGTTTTAATACGCATTTTCCTACAGACAAATGATGCTGAGCTTCTTTTCATGTTTATTGGCCATGTGGCTATCCTTTTCTGCGAAGGAAGCTAGCTTTTTATTCATTTTTTCCTCTTAAATAGTCTTTTTCTTATTGATACATTGTGATGTAAACACAAGGGCCTGGTAACACCCCCCGCCACACACAGGCCCACGCACCCTACTTAACTCACAGAAACAAAGGGGCGTGAAAACCAAGCCCTGCATAGGCAGAGAGTGCTCCTGCGAGAAGGGTGTTTCCTCGGCCCTAGTGTTTTCTGCTTTCCTTAAGACCAGACTAACAGATGAGACAGAAAGGAGACAGCACGTTCACAGAGGGAATAATTGTGAAGTTTAAGTTATGTCCCAAGCACTGCTCTGGGACCTGGAAATTCTGCACTGGAAAAAACAAGAAAGATCAGTCCACTAGGACCCAGGAGGCTTACTGGGCTTGAAAATGGTGCTCGGTTAGCCTTTTCTCCTCGGGAGCTGGGCCAAACTCCTCCCAAGACCCTGAGGGTAATGAAAGCCCTTGCTAATAGTAATAGTAATAGTAATAGTAACAGTAATAGTGACAGTAATAATACACTGTTAACATTTATTGAGCACTTAGTATGTCCCACATGTTATTCCAAGTGCTTCACATGTGTTAAGCCAGTGGCTCTCAAACTTTAACGTACATCAGCTTTGCTTACGGGGTGTGTTCAACAGACAGCTGCCAAGCCT